TCGTTTTATTTAACTGAACAAAAGCTCTCGATGCATTGAGGGAAGGGGGGGTGGGGGGCGGGGAACGAGGGGGGGAAGGGGTTAGCCTCAACACGGATATCCTCATCAGTATCCGCCCCCTCCCCAAATCAGAATATTTATTTATCCTTTGAGGAATACGATGAGCTATGAAGCTCTTTTTTTCTCTCTCGCAGATGACAACAACCATCGATGACCGAATTGCACGGGAGCATGCCAACGTTTGCTTTGCTCCGAAATCGGGGCGTCTCGAAGGCGCACGGCTAAATAAAGAAGTAAAAATTTTACTTCGCTGCTGCGCTTAAAGGAGGTTTAATGCGTTTTCTTCAATTCGTTCGCCACTCTTGGAAGCCAGAAATAGCTTCGCAGGCAAGCATGAGCCAAGCATTATGCAGTGTCGCACAATGCCCGCTCGCAACAATGATGCAGATGACAGTTTTGTGTTTGTGTGTGGGGGGGAGGGGGAAATTGCCCTATCGCATCTAAAACATTTTGGGGGGGGGCTGTTAAATTGGAATTGTGCGAGCGTTTGGTCGTCTGTGCCGAGGCGCGTGTATGTTGCTGAACGCATTAACGCCAGATATTCGCTATCATTTGACTGAAATGATGGCAAGATGCATAATTTATTGAATTGTCAATTTACAGTCAATAAAGCGTGCACAATGTAATCAGTAATCCTGCAAACACAAAGGGTCTATTGAATACAATCGTTTTAATATTTAACGCACAATCCTAAATTGCAAATTTTGTACGTTAAAAAAAATCATCATAGGAATGCTCTGCGCGTGAGTGTGTATGGCTTGGTGATAGTAGGGAGCGGTGGCGCACCAGTTAGCGCACTGTACGACGAACCCGACGTGACGCATTTTTTGGCAGGAAAACAGCGATAGTGACGTCATTAGTTGCGTCGCTTGCATTTTCAGAATAATCGAAAATCACGACATTTTGGATTTGTCCAAAATTTGGTATTTCGGCCTGATTTATTTTTCTTAATCTGACAATTTGGAAAGCATCCCTACAATAAGTGCATTTCTTATAATCACACACAATTTTTGTTGTACGGAATTACAATGCGTGTCATAGTGAAACGTAGTTCATTTATCCAAGACTCTTTTTCAGGAGCTTGCTGCTACATTGCTAGATTTGGCCTACAGCTATGCCACAAGTGTGTGTGGCTCCGTGTGGGAGGAAACCGCAGTTTTTAGGAATCAACTTGGCTGTACCGCCATCAACTGGCCACCTCGCAGCCCAGCGGATTGGGAAGATTCACAACCCCCCCTCCCCTCCCCGTGTGATCCACCTACCTTCGCCTCCAAGCCGCTGGGTCACACGTGCTCGTCACCATCACAGCCACGGGCAGTCGTCAATTTGTTCTCAAACGAATTAATAGGCGGGACGTCACGACTGCATGCCACGCTCCTTTCTCACACAACCCATCGTCGGCACGGCCTCAGTCAGCGCCATCGATTCAATGCCCTACAAGCAAAGTCTAGGCAATGTTGCGAGCCACGTATGTTGAACTTCCTTCGCACCGTACGTAGCCAACCACGCGAACCATCGGATGTGCTTCAGATGCAAGGGTTGGTGGACCAACCGAACCTGCCTCGGTTTCTAGGTAGCCACAAGTTGGCAGCACATCAAGCGGATCTATGAACACATCTGTGGGGAACTTTTGAGTGTGTTATATCCCCTTGTGTGCGTGTGTGTGTGTGTCTTTACTCTGAGCACTGGCGGGGAGCGGTGGCGCAGTGGTTAGCGCGCTGATCTCCGAAACCGGCGACCCGAGTTTGATTCCCGCTCAGGGCCAACACCAGTGATGATTGTTAGAACCGGTCCTTCGCACCGTATGTAGCCAACCGCGCTCATCATCGCGGTTGGTCGCAACATTCAGTGAATTGTGGGCAGAGGGAAGGGCTTGCTTGCTGCTGGGATGCGTAAAAAGATAGAGGCTTGCGTTTTTCATGTGCATGGACACACATGGGAACGGAGGCGTTTGTGGCAGTCTTTTTTAATTTATTTACTCACGACCTCCACAACGACGCCATGTGATTCGTCTCGTGCTATTCTTAACCTGGGTCATTGTGCAAACAACAACAACAACCACGATTGTGTGATTTCTCTACATTCTCCCCAGAAAGAAAAAAATTCTGCCAATAATCACAAAAGTGCACAGAGATGGCCTGCGAATGGGACAATAAAGCATCTCTACGTGGTGTGATTTTTGAGAAATTCTGCCAAATTTCCACCGCCAAAGCCCAATTTCCAAATGTCCACATGAGCCACATGTGGTTTACAACCACAACAACAGCTGTGGCCACCGATAGCTTCCTCGTGAGGGCCAAATGCATCTCGATGTGCTCACGGTGCATTTCGCGGCGGTTGCGTGCAAAGTGGATGATTTCGAGGAGTGTCCCCGCGACTCGCGGCTCTTGTGCCAGCAGTTGTGTAAACTGATGAAACACAAGAGGAAGAAAGAAGGGGGTTTGATGATGGATAGGGACGGAAAATGATGGGCATTAATTATTGTAATTATGTTAATTACGTGTCCGCCTTGGCTGGGCGATGCTTTTGTACCCGTGCCTATTGTTTGTCTCGATTTTCATTATCCCCTGACCCTTGTGGATGCACAAGCTCCCCTCCTCCATCTATCCGTAAAAAACCACCACCATCCAAGCGTGAGCGTGAACCCATACACACAACCCCACCCCCCAGACATCAACAAATAAAAAAACGCCTACATAGATACATACAACAACAAAAAAGCCTTGATCAGCATTAACCCATCCCACGCCACTTATCATACAAACGCCACGACGGAGAAAACCTTTGTTGACAGTGAAACAACATTATTGGAATTTTCTGTTCAAATGAGTACCGAGGCGGTGATCGTATCCGAGTTACAGGCCCCATGAGCCAGTGGTAGAAAATTCCACTGTTTGACGTCACAACAACGCGGTACCAATTTTAATGACCCCGGAGGGATGATGGGCCGAGCCAAGCACCCTCGATCCACGATTTGAACTCGACAGTCAACCGCAGCGTAAGATCGTGGGAATTGAAGAATTAAATCAGTCTTACTGGTAGGAACCTCCTGGTTACACCAGCCCACAGGGGATTATTGTGTCCGTCCGTCCGTCGTGCAGGGAGGGGCTGGGTGGGGAGGGTGGGGCTGGGTGGGGGGTGGGAGGGGTGGGGCTGGGTGGGGAGTGTGGGGCTGGGTGGGAGGGGTGGGGCTGGGTGGGGCGGGGCTAGGTGGAGTGGGTAGGGAGGGGTGGGGCTGGGTGGGGAGGGTGGGGAGGGGCTGGGTGGGGAGGGGCTGGTCACCCCGTGGTGCCCTTATAAAACTCAACGTTTAACCTACTCACGCCGGCTTGTGCCCGCCCTCACAGTCGGGCATATTTGCGGAATACACCACGCCGCCGTTGACCCTGGCCATTGACCGAGCAACCCAACGTTCCTTACCAGCTCCCTCCGCAGCAGGACAATGTGTTTGCGTACATATTTGTTCGTGTTAAAATGTAAAATGCAAACTTACTGTGCAAGAGTTAGGGGGCGGTGGGAATTGATATCGCGATAATAGTGGAATATGTAAGTTTTTCTTTGTATCGTATTGGTACGCGATACAAGAGGCGCAGTTTCACAACTCGGCAAACACCCCCCCCCCCTACCCAGCCCGCACTTGGTTTGCTCCGGTGACGTCGCCCCCCCCCCCACCCGCTGTCTTTGGACTGCGCCACTTTGACAGGCGGGGGACGTGCGAAGTGGGTAGGAAGCTTCCGCTGCTGCCGTGTCTGTTAACCGGTTCGACGGACCTCGTGGGTCTTGCAACAATTGCTGATATCACGCCCGCTCGCTCGCCTGCCCGCGTGTGTGTCCTCTTGTTCTGTCTGCCTTGTGGTCTTCGTGCCACGAGTTCGATTACCGCCCACGGCTATAAACCATCGGTGCCTGGGCTGGAGATTGAGCGTGCCGTTAGTAGGCCCCGTTCAGCACCAGCTCAATTCGCAGCTGCCAGCGTGGTGAAGTATAGTCAAATAAGGTCAAGTAAGGTCAAATAATCTACTGGGTCGACGAGACGTGTAGGGGGGATGAGGCCTTAATTCATCCAGCAGTGGATTGACGAATGACGGGTAAAACTGCATTGACTTGTCGTGGTTGAAGTGCACGTGGAGCGGTGGCGCAATGGTTAGCGCATTGCAAGCACGAACGGGGCGAATTCAATTTATCCGAACCGGTCCTGGCCTTGATGATGGAACCCCGCGTGATCATTCCGCTCCCCCCACCCCCATGTCCACCCCAATACATTAACTCGCACAGACCAGCGTGGTGAAGTATGGTCAATCTCTAAGCATTGTGTGGGGACTGTGAGTGACCTCTTAAGGGCGCGCAGCCTCGTTTAAGCGGATTCTCAGATGTATTTGATTTGTTTTAACGAGATACCACAGCGCGTCAACCCATAGGTGTTGTTACCCCCTATTCTTGTGCAGGAAAAGTGAGTTTTCAAGTCCATACGGCGCACAGCCGTTTCAATACGGGCACAAAATGTCTTTGTGTTTCTCTCCCTTGTGATGGGACTTTGCGGGATGAACGTTGAGATTCATAAGGGGCCACGGGGTGGCCAATAACGTCTGAATTGGTCTGTAATAAGGTAGGGCAATGATAAGGGTATGCAGATACCATGTGTTCAAATTGGGATTCGTGTATGCATGAAAGGCTCTCGTTTTAAATTTCGATTTAAAGCTTTCGTGACTGCAGGGATTCATCTTCTTGGTTCTTTCGGTAAATACACGTAGAAGGGAAATAATAAAATAAAACAAAATTATCACGACGTTTCGGCCACAACGCAAGCAGCCGTCCTCAGGTGAAGAACAGGTCTGTCGGAAAGACAGCGTCTTCAGACAGACCTGTTCGTCGTGAGAATTGTATTTTATTATGTTTTATTTTTATTATTTCCCTTCTACGTGACTTTACCGAAAGAACCAAGAATATGAATCCCTGCAGTCACGAAAGCTTTAAATCGAAAGGTGACGACGTTTCGGCCACAACGCAAGCAGCCATCCTCAGGTGAAGAACAGGGCTGTCGGAAAGACAGCGTCCGAATCTACTGCTGGATGAGGGCCCTCCACACCACCGTTGCGAGCGCTATGTTGGACCATACTTCACCACACTCACCCGATGTGGCTCTGTGAAGGTGGCGAGCGTGCAGGTGGGAACATAGAACAGTGCAGTACAATGTATTGCTCTCCTCGGCAGCCTATAATAACAACAACCCGCCCTTTGCACGGCAGTAACGAAATCTCTAAGCACTGACCAGGCTCCTTATATATACACACCTGCTTAGCTTCCGAGATGGAGTACATAGCGAGTTCTTTTGATCCTAAGGCATACAAGATGTATGATGATGCCGGCGGTGCTAAACATGTACAAATAGACGCGTCATTACGTCTGAGCAGTGTATGGTTTTTTTTTATCTCTCAACAATAAGCCGACAGCATTGCCTCCTGTCCCCAACGCAACCTCCCGTGTCACTGGCCCCATCTATCCTGGCACCTTAACTCTGCTGAGATAATAACACAACAACAACAACATCAACAACAAATATGCAACAGTGGCCTCCATATCCACGCGTCGTTAGCGAATGGTTCAGTGTGGGGCTTGTTGCTGTCAGATTTCTAGCGTGAGAAATTTTTCATAATAAACGTTTTTGGGTTAGCAAAAAAGTATCACGTTGACAAAAGACAGATAATTCACTACTTTAGCCCACCGGTGTGTTAAAGAGTGAATCCACAACATTTACCATTTTTGAGAACGACGTTTCGCTGGTAATTACATCCAACATCATCGGGCAATTCGCCAAAATGGTGAAGCCCTCACTTGAAAAAATTTGATGACCGGTCTTAATCGCAGATAATGGCTGCAAGTCGCCAAAGTTGATAGTGGGCTGCATCGCTTTGTCAATGCTGCTAATCTGGCCCAGTGAGTAACATTGCAGTACAGTTTGGGTTTGCGTAGTGTACAGACACGACTGCATCTCCACAAGAGGGTTTCTTGGGTTAGACCGTGTCAATATAAATGTGTCGTTAAACCCACCACCACCCGACACAGCCAACTAGTAAGGTTTGTCACGTGAGCAAAACATGACAATTTGTTACGAGTTCAGCACGCTGAGAGTGAACCCACAACATTTACAACACTGGTCAACAAAACAAAATAATAAATTTCTGGCCTGGACTTTTGCAGCTGTTTTAGACTAATTTCAGGGTGCTGATTCCAAATCTGATCTCAGATTTGCTCTATCACATCATTTTTATGCTATCGGCATACCCCATTTTCAAGTCTTCATCATCATCTGGAAGACCGCGTCTCTACCCTCGTCTTCAGCGTTGTGGGTCAGGCAGCATGTTGCCGTCCTGACCAGATTGTAGTATTATTCCCTGTACCCGCGATGGCTCTAATATAGTGTCTCTAAAGTGCATCACTACACGTGCAGAAAGCTCAACCTGGGAGAGGGGGAGGGGAGTGGTGGTCACGGCAAAAAAAAATGTGTTGCGCATTTAAGAATCCAATATTCATGAAAGCCGCAACGTGATAACGCGAATGGGATCCGTGTGCGACCAGGTGCGTGGAGGTGAATGCCGAAAGTAAATGAAAGCATGAATAATCCATTCCCTCCATGGGTAGAGCACTTGACATTGCAGAATGTGCTATCAGCTGACTGGCATGCAACTTTAATCGCCTGCTTTTATATTCATCACGTTCTCCGTTACATCAGTTGAACAATAATAATAATTTGTAGGTTTGACAGACATTCTCGTCTTTACGTATTGCGCTTTGTGAATGCACAATCGTAGGAGTACAAAAGAATATACAGTGGTACCCCGAGAGATCGAACTTAATTCGTTCCAGAAGGCCATTCGAACACCGATTTGTTCGAACACCGAATTAATTTTCCCCATAAGAATTAATGTAAATGACATTAATTGGTTCCAGGCACAAGAAATCTCATTATAAAGCATTTTTACACAAAGTTTTACAGTAATTACATGCATAAAATCATTTTAAAGAAACAAAAAATAAATTGAATAAATATATGGAATAAATGAAATAAATGAACATTGAACTTAATTTTACCTGCAGTAAGGAGAGTTGATGGCTTGAGTGGAAGGTGGTGAGGAGGAGGAGATGGTGGTGGTGTTATTGTTTGGAAGGGAAGTCCCCTTCCATAATAACGTCGGGTAACTGCCCTTCTGGGGTTCTTTCTCGTTTGTGCCTCTTTTCTGCCACTGACTGAGTCACTTGAGCTCTTTCTGACTAAAAACGTATCTAAAGAGGTTATCACACGGTAAAACCTTTGGACAAGCGTCTTGCACGCTGGCCATACGCGTCTCAGCCGTACAGGTTCTTTCAAGTCGCGATTGCCCGTTCGACTTCCGAATTTCGTTCGGATAAAAAAAATATTCGGAAATATCGTTCGAACACCGGTTTGTTCGAGTTCTGGTGCGTTCGATCTCCGAGGTTCTACTGTACATTCAAACTCCTTTTGCCTGATGTTCATCGTGATCTGCACCCTGAAATGTAACGAAAGACCTTGCTCTTCTAACAATTATCATCTTTTCACCTCGGAATGTGCCATAACAGTATTTGCTCGCTCTCGAAGGGAGAGAACGACTCGGGAGGCGTGAGGAGGAACCACAGACGTGCGGGGAAGACAGCAGCCACGCGGTGAGCCGGTGTGAGGGGGCAACACCCTATCTCGTACAGATGGAACAGACCGAGTCCACATTATTGCTTTACCGCCTTCTCCCGGCAAGCCAGAGCATGTATACCTAATCGACGCCCATGTTGAAGACAGTTTTGTACGTACAGTAATCCCTCGCCACTTCGCGGTTCAAGTTTCGCGGCCTCAGTGCATCGCGGATTTTTCGAACTGATTTAAAGGCCTCATTATACCTGTGCAGTAACACCATCATCATCATTCATCATCACATTCATCGAACTGCACAGGTCTGTCATCGTCGTCATTGCCATCGTCATTATCGTCGTCGTCGTCATTACTGGAGTCAAGTCTCAAGATACTACTGTGATTGGTGAGTGTAGAATACCATAATACGTATCGTATGAGAGAGAGAGAGTGAATGTATAATATTAAGGTTTTATAATTAAATAGATTTAAGTAAAATATATATATAAAGTATAAATATACATATTTTAAACATTCTGGTACCCACACACACATATACGGAAATTCCTAGGGGGCCAATCCTACTTCGCGGATTTTCACCTATCACGAGGGGTTCCGGTCCCCATTAATCGCGATAAACGAGGGATCACTGTACATACGCATGCGTGTTGAACTTCTTCAACAGCATACGTAGCCAACCGTGCTAATCGGAGTTGCACAACATTAGTGTGTGATTCTCATCAGCTCTCGGCTCCTTCAAAGTGCTCGATTGCAGGCCACGTGCAGCACAGCCACGAGCACCCAAACAATCTGCGCGTCCGTTCGCATTATCCACATTTCCCACGAGAGTTTGCGCCGATCCAAATTCATTCTAGATTTGAAGCTTTCGTGACTGCAAGGATTCATATTCTTAGGTTTTATTTTTATTTAACTTTTATTAATTTAAAAAAAAAATTACCTACATGACTTTACCGAAAAAAACCTAAGAATATGGATCCAAATTCAGCCCGATGCAGGCCTCTGGAATTGCAATCATTCCTCTTAATATCCACGCGATGCACGGATAAAGAGGGTAAGCCTCATGCCGGTGGTGAAACATTCGTCGTCATTTATTGGGGGTCCAATATTTGACGAGATGGAGCATATTGCTTGGGTACGTCATGGTGAGCAGGGAAGTTTGGACAAGAGTAATAACGTAGCGGCTAGCTTAAGGAACCGAACGCGTCCGAGAGCACGTCCGCCGGGGAGACGGAGCGATGGAATGGGTTGGTGTGCGGATTGCTACGCGGGCGCTGTCAACATCGGCGGGATCGTGAGATGTGGCTGCGGCGACGGCTTGGGGGGGAGGAGGCCTGCATCCAGCAGTGGATTGACCATGGCTGAGGATGAGCACAGCGAGGATCAATCAGACTTCTTGGTTCTTTCGGTAAAGTCACGGAGAAGGTAAATAATAAAATAATAAAAATAAAACATAATCAAATAAATATTTTATTATGCTTTATTTTTATAATAAAATAAAAAAATTATTATGTTTTATTTTATTTTATTATTTCCCTTCTACGCGACTTTACCGAAAGGACCAAGAAGATGAATCCCTGCAGTCACGAAAGCTTTAAATCGAAAGATCAATCAGACGTCGATATTTTCGGTGACTTGGTCGCGGTATTTGGCTTCACGTGGTCTCAGACAATCATATGTACGTCATACCGAAGTTCTTGTTATTTTTACGATATTTTTTTATTGATCAGGTCAAGCCCACTGAGCTATTAGCGCTTTTTTCAGAATCTCAACGAAGCGGCTTATCACGTGCAAATATATAGCAGCAAAATAATTCGTGGCAGGCAAAAACCGGAAGAGCCGGAGAAAAATCTATGCGACCACGGGGAGAGCATGCAAACTCCAAATATACAGCAGGCGTCGGGGTCGTGATCGAATCCACGACCTCCTGCATACCAGACGAGGGCGATAACATCTCCCCCACCCATGACGCGCGCTGTCCCGATGTGAGTGGCTCTGACGTGACACGTTTAAGAGGACCACTGATACTTCCTGTGACTTTGAAAATGAATCCAGTAAAACATTTAAATCGATGAAGGCTCTTCTATCTTTAGAGCACCGTTCACAATATGGATCCGAAAGTTTTAACAGCGGCCATTAGGATATGCGGGGCCGAATAGATTTTGCGCTAGCCTTAACGTTCATGGAACAAAAGTTTATTTTTCTCCGTGTACAAGTACGGGAGCGATCACGAGGCTTTTATTTAGCCCAGGTACAGGCTCACATCGATTGTTTGGGAATATCTGTTATTATACTCACCACCCTCACCTTTCCGTCTCACCTCGCGGATAGCAATTGTGTTCAAATGTATTTCTACCCAGTTCCACAAGTTTTGATTTGGTCCACAGAGTCCGTGCGTTGTGAGCAGCGAAGGTAAATTATATTCTTACTCAAGAGATTATTGCTCGGTAAACTTCTTCTTTTACTCTTATAGTATGTTTAGTCATAACTAGCGGTGTTTTTTTATAATTGTTAATCATTTCAACTGGTATCGCACCGCAGTTGCCGCACACAGTGTTCACTCATCGCTCTCGTAGAGAGAGGGCAACTCAGAGGCGCCATGAGGAAGAACCACGGACGAGCGGAGAGGCAGCAACCAGGCATTGAGCCGGTTGCAAATTCCCCTCCAAGCTCTGCGGTCCTCCATATGTGAAGGTGTTATCGGCCAATTAACCCTTTCCCGTTACGAGATGTCTGCAAGTTGCAGCAGGGTGGGTGTCCCGTTCACCCCTGAATCTTTTAACGTGCAAGTGGTTCAGCATTTGTTTAGAGAGGTGTAGCGCCATTATTTTTAATGACATTGTACTCACCGCAGAGAACCGTAGCGACATGACCACACTCTGTGACAGCTGATGCCACGTTGTGCCACGTCCCTCCCGCAAGGCCTTGTGGGAGCCCGAAGACGTACCGATAAAGATATTTTAGTTTTTCTTTACTTGTGGGAGGAAGCAAGAGCACCCGGAAAAGAAACCCACACGACGACCCACCTGCGGGGAAGGGAGTTTCACGGCGCTAGTGCGGCAATCCACCAACCCTCGGTGCCTTCAAATGCCGGATTACAGGCAACCACGTGCAGGATAGCCACCACTTGTTAAGGAGTCCATTCGCATATAGCTCGTGTGGCATATGTCAGAATTCCGCCGTGGCTGGCTGCTCCTGCCCTTCCTGGGTTTTCGCAAAAACTCCCCGTGCTGCAGAAGAATGATCTGCTTGCATGGCGCACAAGCAACAGCAGCAGCAGCAGCAGCCCATTAATCCGAAGAGGCGATTAACTCAATTAAAAGCCAATTAACGGTGAGCGTAGCCACTCTTAAGCGTGACATGTAATTAATGTCAAGTAATGGCTGGATTATGCCATCCATTGGGAGGGGTCCTGTGTTCCTTCACATCACATCGCACCAGACGCTGCTCGCTGATACTCACTGCGAGCAACGCTTTTGCTGTAACAGTGCACTGATGCATTTAATCGGCGATGCGCCTGTTCACCAATGCGTTCACCGATGCACCTGTTCACCGATGCGCCTGTTCGCCGATGCGTTCACCGATGCACCTGTTCACCGATGCACCTGTTCACTGATGCATTCACCGATGCACCTGTTCACCGATGCACCTGTTCACTGATGCATTCACCGATGCACCTGTTCACTGATGCACCTGTTCACCGATGCATCTGTTCACCGACGCATCTGCTCGTCGATTAATTGAAACGCTTGGACTCGTGGCCCTCGCGTTCATAAGAATCGGTTTGTGTACGGAAAATTATGAATTGGTTCGTGTCACCCCAGCAAGCCGTTCCAGATGCTTCCATTCAGAATTGCTGGATGAAGGCCTCCCCCGTGCCAAGTCAGCCACTGGTTTCATTTGACCATACTTCACCATTCTGCTCAACAACCAAGAAAAAAGCAATTGGGTGTCTGGGGGGCTTATACCCAGTCGTAATGATCATCTGTCTCTCTGTACACTAATAGTAGAATACATATTTATTCAATCCCAGGTCTTTCTGTCTTAAAAATAGACATCCACACTCATACACATGCGGTGCTCCGCTGCTATTTTTAAAATCACAATGCCGTAATTTACTCGGTGGGTGGGTGCGTGGGTGGACAGCCGACACCACCCCAGCCTTTATAGAGGTACTCGCTAATTGCGCTACCCCTCACAGTCCACAATGGTAAATTATGTTTTGTATTTGGTGTATGTGGGTGTGTGTATCTTAATAGGCGAGCGGTAGTGTAATGGTTAGCGCGCTACGCTACGAACCCGGCAACCCGAGTTCGATTCTTGCTCATAGCCAACACCAGTGACGATTATCTGAACCGGTCCCAAACCTCCCCTAGATCGACTCTTCTTCGAATGACTACCTGGTGTGGTGTACACATCGACCCCTGGGGAGACAAAGGCGACCGGGCGTGGTGTTGGCCACCAACACCCTCGTGTGCCGTGCCGGCCTTCATGAGTGCTCGTTAGCAGCACTTGCCCCTACGCGCATCTCACTCGGTTCTTTGTCTGGCCGTCTTACTGCGTGTGCGTACATCGTATCTTGCAAGTCCCACCTATTACATTATTTGCTACGGGGAATTTGTTTTTGCTTCAAACGTTTTCACTAAACTGCGTGAAACAAGGAATCTCTGTTTTCTTGCATACCGGTACTTTCTAAGCACCTGTGCAGGCCAGAGGCAATCAGGAGAGCCACATACGGAACGACATTTTCCCTGAACATTTTTTCTTATTCATTGAGTTTTTTTCCACTCCCCTCTCTCTGCCCGTGCTGGAAAAGTGGGTCGCCAACAAAGACTGCAGATCACTCCGGGCTACCCGCGACGCCGGGATGCCGTGACCTGATCATAAACAATGGCGCTGCTCGATAACTTACAAGGCGCACGCCAAAGTTACACACGCTCATTGCGTGTACGTGTGTATGTCGAATTTCTTTCGCACCATACGTAGCCGACCGTGCTAATCGGAGGTGCAGGGAAGGCCAGCAAACTGAACACAAAAATCAGTTCTAAAGAAATTCGTTTTTAATCTAGATTCTTTAAAAGTGCATAGCTCCAGTGGCTATCTAATATTAGAAGGAAGAGTGTTCATATTCTTGGTTCTTTCGGTAAAGTCACTTATAGAATAAAATATTAATATTATTTTATTATTTCCCTTCTACGTGACTTTACCGAAAGAACCAAGAATATATATTGTTATTAGTGGTGAATTCTGTATGTAGTATGTGATGGACGCAACAGTTGCACTCGAGGAATAAACCAAACCACCCCTGCACACGGACCAGGGTGACGGGGTGGGAGCTGGGAGGCCCCTGGCGTTCACCGGCAGAGTTGCACCCTGGGAATAACGCAGGGTCACAAGAAGGCTCACGTGGAGAGGGGAGCTCTCCAAAGCAGACGCGGAGCAGGTTGTTGTTGAGACTGACAGCAAGGAGTGGAGATTGCTGCTGCGATGGGCGACTGTTCAAGCGATCGATTACTACACCGAACCGATAATTGGTTCGCCGCGTTGGCGAGATGTTAAATCCCTCGCCTGATATGCAGGAGGTCGTGGGTTCGATCCCGGCCCTGGCGATGTCTGCTGTACATTTGGAGTCTGCACGTCTCTCTCTCTCCCCGTGGTCGCGTGGATTTTTCTCCGGGCCCTCCCGTTTTTCCCTCCGCATGTAGAAACATGCATTTAGAGTATTTGGCTGCTTAAATGTCCACAGTGATAAGCCACTTCGTTGAGCTATCATCTGTGGCCAGGTCGCTTCTGAAAAAGAGCTACATAGCTCATTGGGCCTCACCTGGTAAAATAAAAATAGAATCGATTGCCCGACCGATCGGATCACACGAAAAATTGCTGGGGGTGTAAACAAAAGTCTCACCTGTGTTCCCGCGTGTGTCGCTGGACGGTAGGTGGTGGGCGTGGGGCTGTGGGGACCGTCATCGGCATCATCGGCCATCAACAGTCATCATCAGCCACCGTCACCCACTGGGTATAGTTTGAAGGGGGTTTCCTGCCTTCGGAAAAGGGGATGTGGGATTCAGCCTCCACACTTTTAGGGGAAGGGGGGTGGGGGGCATGAGTGATCGACCAAGTCGTCGATTAATCGTCCCCGCCTCTAGTTGGGATACAAGGCAGGGAGCCGAAAATTGTCATAATGCATCGAGGGTTGTTGCGTGCTTATGGACGGACGTACAAATTCGCGCGATCATTATTACGCAACGGGGCGCTGAGAACCGAGATAATACGGCAGGTAGTTGAGGCAGCGGTGTGTGCGCGCGTGCATGTGCCGTGCTCTTTTTGTACAAACACACACACAGAGCACTTCCCATCGGTAAACACCGATCAGGGGTTCGCGCGAACTGAGATTTATACACGAGCGGAACGGGCGGACAGATTGGCAACCGCGGAGCTTTTGGGGCGTCGGTCGGCTTTTGGGGAAGAAGAAAAATAAATCAATCCCAAGGCAGCACGGAGCGAGGGTCGGGGGAGGCTCACGTAAACGCGTGACCTCCCCCGGTGACGAGAGAGCGAAGTGAACTGCGCTGAGCTAAAAAAACAATTGGGGGGGGGGGGGCGTGGGGGGACACGGTGGCGGCGAGGCAATCTCGGCCGCGTGCCCCCTCCCCGCCCCCCCCCGGTGTTTACAAGAGCCAGATTTGTGCCACCGAGTGAAGCTGCCTTAGGCAACCCCTCCAGCGGCGCTGGTCCGAGAGGGGGGGGTGGAGATTTTGAATCGCCCCGCCTGGACGTGAGGGTGGATTAGGCCGCCGATTGCCTCCGCGCGAAGTTGGCTAGGGAGACGCCCGATTTTTTATTTTATTTATTCCTGCCGGGCAGTGAAGTTCGCAGTAGGTGTCGCGTTGTTCCGTGTTTGCACATCGGCGGTGCGTAGTCGTCGTCGTCGCCGTAGCGATTCTACGTGAATGTAGGTCGTTGTGGAAATGTGTACGATTAAGATGATGTCGTTGTCGTTGATTTTTGTTTCTCTTGTTAAAGCGGGTGTATAACTTGTAGCGGCTGTCCCGTGGCCGCCGAGGGTCTCCGCTGGCTGAGTTGCCGAGTGAAGCCCTTGGAGCTGCCTGGCTCAAAGGGCTTCTCTTTCTGAGTCTCGTCATCGACATTATTGTAATTTATTATTGTCATTGCACATTTATAATAATCAATATTATCAACACAAATTGTCATCATCATTACATCCTCTGCATTGTCATCATCGTCGTCATCATCGTCCTCATCATATTTATCAGTCACCACTGCCTCTCCGAGTCCGAAGACTGTTCCAGGATGGGGTGGACCCTGAGTTGATTCGACGCAAAGTGCCTGACGAGTTCGTTAATAACGTAGGTTTATCGTACAAATTCATCGTCACCTTTTAACTAATTGTAATATCTCGCACGGATAATTCCCGTGAGATGGTTCATCTCGTTTCGCAAGGACGTGCAGGGGAGCCGAGTGGAACGCACACGTGGCAAACCCCCGTAACGGCACGCATACAAACATTTTAAATTCTCTACGACGTATTCGGTGTGATCATACATTTACACAGAGTCTATGGGCAATGTTGAGTCGATGGGCAGTGTTGAGCCTGTGGGCAGTGTTGAGTCTGTGGACAGTGTTGAGTCTGTGGGCAGTGTTGAGTCTGTGGGCAGCGTTGAGTCTGTGGGTAGTGTTGAGTCTATGGGCAGTGTTGAGTCTATGGGCAGTGTTGAGTCTACGGGCAGTGTTGAGTCTATGGGTGGCAGTGTTGAGTCTATGGGCAGTGTTGAGTCTATGGGGCAGTGTTGAGTCTATGGGACAGTGTTGAGTCTATGGGCAGTGTTGAGTCTATGGGCAGTGTTGAGTATATGGGCAGTGTTGAGTCTGGGCAGTGTTGAGTCTATGGGCAGTGTTGAGTCTATGGGGCAGTGTTGAGTCTATGGGACAGTGTTGAGTCTATGGGCAGTGTTGAGTCTATGGGCAGTGTTGAGTATATGGGCAGTGTTGAGTCTGGGCAGTGTTGAGTCTATGTATGTGCATATATGGAACTTCTTTCGCACCGTACGTAGCCAACCATGCTAATCGGAGTGTTCGATCTGTCCGTGTGCCGCGCGCAGAGGGAAGCCTCCGAGCTTTTAGCGGTCGTCACCAGCCATGGCGAGCGGAGGCTCAGCTCCGCCAAACTTCTCCTGGGTGGAACCGGGCCGGCTGGCAGGCCTGGCCATGCCGTGCGACGCCTCGCACTACCGCTACTTGTACGATTGCGGCGTGCGTCACCTGGTGTCGCTCACGCACGGCAAGCCGCGTCACGCCGACACGTGCCCGGGCATCCGCCTGCACGCCATCAAGATCGAGGACTTCCAGCCGCCGTTGCCGGAGCAAATCGAGCGTTTCCTCGACATCGTGAGCGACGCCGGCGCCAAAGGAGAGGTTGTCTAGCAAGGGGGGGTGGGGGGGTGGGGGGGGAGGAAGTTTTTCACAATTTTCCGTTCTTCCCTCGTTTATCTATTTAGCGAATGCTTTTGCACGTCACTTTTACGCAGTTAGAGCACCGTTCATTATACAGGTGAAGTGCTCACAAGTGATGCCATCACATCTAGCAATCTATTTAAGGAACGAAACAGCAGGATTTCTTCACAAATCTGGCTGTCGCCTTATGAAGCTGGTTGTAATTACTGGCGAAACGTCGTACTCAGATTGTAAATGTTGTGGCTTGGCTCTCCAACACACCGGTGTGCTGTACTAGTAACGAATTGCCACGTTCTCCAACTCCAAAAAAACCTGTATTATGGAAGTCTTATCTGATCAACATTAAAACATTTTAATAATTTGAAATGAAAATGTTACCGTTTTTGATCAATGGCGTTCAAGGAACTGCTTCTAAATTGCAAATATTTTCCTCGCGGCATTGAATTGGTGTGCTCAATATGTTTTAATTCAAATAAAATTTTATTTAAAAAATAATAACAGCAGCCTGGCTGGCCACGATTTGGCATATTCTGTTGACAAACCTTACTAATTGGCTGTGTCGGGTGATTGCAGGTTTAACGACACATTTATATATTTACATATCATTGTTCATTTCACGCATCTTCATATTCATCACGCGCTGCCATCCTTATCATCAACTCATCTCATCGTCGCACTGGTTTGCTGTACCATTGCCTTGGTTGAGGCGCTATATCAATTACATGAAGATAAGATAAGATTTTTTAACGATTTCGGGTTATTTCCTTATCGTTTACATCACACGCTTTGGGCGGCAGATTTGTGCCAGAAATGCACCGCGTCTTGAAGCTAAAATAAAATTGACCCAGCATGACTATATTTATTTACGCTGTCTTCGGGCTCAGCAAAAGCGACGTCACGCAGATGAGTATGCGGTGGTGCAAACTTCACCACCTGTGAAACAAAGGCGGCTAGGCATGTCGTCGGACACACCATCCACTCGTGCGCCATGCCTGCCGGCGTAGGTGCTCGCCGAGGTCCCTTGCCCCAGCGGCCTGCCGAAGGCTACGCTTGGGGATCTTTGTCTTTGTATCATATCTGTGCATGTGTGACCGTGTGTGCGTGTGTGCGTGCAGGCGGTGGCCGTGCACTGCATGCACGGGCACGGCCGCACGGGCACCATGCTCGCGTGCTTCTTGGTGCGCCAGCGGGCGCTGTCGGGGGTGGATGCCGTGGCCGAGATCCGCCGGCTCCGGCCGGGGTCCATCGAGACGCGCGAGCAGGAGATCGCCGTCACGCGCTTCTACCAGCGCCACAAGTGACGTGCGGTGTGTGGCGTGCGGTGTGTGACGTGCGGTGTGTGACGTGCGATGCGTGCGGTGTGTGGCGTGCAGTGTGTGACGTGCGGTGTGTGGCGTGCAGTGTGTGACGTGCGGTGTGTGGCGTGCGGTGCGTGACGTGCGGTGTGTGGCGTGCGGTGTGTGGCGTTGCACCGCGGGCATTGTTAAACACTCCGCTCGTATCATGAGCATACGAATCGACGTGCGGTCGGGACGTGTCGCTGCGCACTCACCACACTCGCCACACTCGCTGTACTAGCTGCACTCACTGCACTCACCGCACTCACCGCTCATGTCGTCGCTGCTGCTCCCGTTTTGAATTACGGTCTCGGCGTTTCGACAATACCACACAACCCGCCCCTTACTTTATGGACATCTGAGACAAAGCGCTTCATAGCTCATTGGATTCCTCCTCCAGTCGAGATAAAGATCCTGATTCTGAAGCCTCTTATACCTTGCAGACCGGACGTTGGGAACAGCTGGCCTTGAGCGAGCTGGAGAAGAGAGAGCGCCTTTAGACGGTGTGTTAGGCCTCCTCTTTCATAATGTCCAGACGTCTTCGAAGAGCTGGGAGCAAGCCACACTTGACCCCACTATACGCGACCCTTTCTATCTATTGAATGCGACGAACCGATTTATACCACTGGGTGGACAGAGGCAATGGGGGGGGGGGGGGGGGTTGGATTTTTGCGCCGTTATTTCAACCGCCACGCCAGGAGATGTCGTTGCAAACCTTTGAGCTTTTGGACGAACCCTCCAGCGTGCTGACCACAGCAACCACTGTGGCAGCTCGCGTGATCTCTCGGTAAAAAGGGCGAGTCGTATCTTTCGCTTATCGGTGGACGTCGCCATGTGTGCGTCAAACCGGTAACTGATTGAGATTTTTTGTTCACGCGATTGCCAGAAATGCAAAACAAACAAAAACAAAAGGATTTGTCAGACAGAGGCAGTGGGCAAGTGACGCAAATAGGCACGTGCCAGGAGATGGAATCGAACCGGCGACCTCTGGAGCACGCTGCTCACCGTTAAATTGGGGTCGACGTACGTACGTACGTAAGTTACGTAAGTTGAACCTCTTTCGATTTGAAGCTTTCGTGACTGCAGGAATCCATACTAGAATTAATAGATCTATACATTTTCTATCTACGTGACTTTGCCGAATGTAGCCAACCGTGTGCGCCAATCGGAGTGGGTAAGGGTTAAATTTCGATTTAAAGCTTTCGTAACTGCAGGAATTCATCTTCTTGGTTCTTTCAGTAAAGTCACGTAGAAGGGAAATAATAAAATAATAAAAATCAAACAATTGTATTTTATTATTGGTAAGGGTTAGTTCAATTTCTCTGCGTCCGCTAAAAGGGAAGACACTGCTCGCATGTCAACGAGAAAACCGTTTCGCTTGTCGACTTTGTTCAAACTTCCTGGGTGTCCCAGTGGTATCGTTGCGTGACGCCCAAATGCGGCTCCGGCCGATCGGCCCCGCCGCGTACGCCGACCGTCGCGAACGTGGCAACGGTAATATCTCAACACCCGCACGGGCTGCCCTTGGCATGGTTTGTGTGTCCAATTAAAAACCCTATTTGCTCCTGTCAAAAACTTTGAATTTTTCCGAAAAGTTGTCCGTCCTACTGGGACGACGGGGTATTTAAATTGTCTTCCTCTGCCTGTGGGTCACGCCACTCCCCCCACCACATCCAGAGGGGGGAGGGTGCAGGCTTTGTTTCAGTTTCATTGATTAGGTATAACCCTGTGAGCCATGCGGCTCTTGACTCGGGTCCAACCGCAACGAAACAAAACACATGAACAAGAAACATCTTAAAGTGACTGACTGCCCGCAACAGAAAAATCCTGGGACAAACAGCAAAGTCTTCCAGAAAAAATACCGTATTTCAACGCTGTGTGCAAAAATCCCAGTGGTATGCAAGTCAAACAATAACAACCATAAGACAATGTAGATTAAAGTTATGAGGCTAACTGTACTACAACAAACTAACATGGCTAAACCAAAACGCTTTCAAAATCACCAAAATAAAGCTATAAAAACATGGCATGGATACCGTGGCATGGATACTGTGCAGGATAAATGTTGAAAGTGTGTGTGTGTGTGTGGGGAGAGAATGTAGCTCCCAGGTGGTGACAAAGCTCGCAGATGCACAACGCGAAACGAATGCGTTATTATTGTAGCACCGCTATTATTGTTACAATAATAATAATGTAACATTGCTACAATATAATAATTATACACGATGCACCTTTACCGACACAAAGCTCTCGAGTACACATCACAAAACACATGGCTACCTACCGCTGCGTTGAGTGAAGGTGTGGACATTTGTGTTTCCTGAGTAACCACGGTGGTATTTTTGGGGGCTGCAGTGGAGGTGGATTAGGGTGAACCACCCCAGAAATTAAATCCTGTTTGTCGTTTAAATGACAGGCAGATTTGATGAAGTTGGAAAAAAATAACGCCCCATTTATTGTTCAACACGTGTTTTTTGTTGCTGATGCGTTTCGCTTCGTAAGTTATCTAACCAAACCGGTGGAATGTTGAAAAGCGAGCGTGCAGTTTTTCCCGGTTTCGTACGACGTTTCGCTGGAGATTTCAGCCAGCATCATCAGGTCGTCGACAACGGCTGAGCTCTCGCGTGGACCCGATGGTGGTGGCTGTAATGATGCACTGCTATGTTTGTAATCTGCAGCGAATAGTCGGACAAACGTTGTGAGACAAAAATGATGCTTGCTTTTCGATCATGCTGCTGGCTTGCCAATGAACCAAATCAATTGGACATCTGTGAAAAAGACGTGTTTAGTTCATCGGATTCCTTCAGGATAAATCAATATTGTTATTCTGATATTTGCCCATGATGTGACAACTTGATTTGATTGCCGGGTGGTCGAGGGTTTACAGTAAAACAAAGAAATGGCATTATACACTACACGACGATCTAACATGAAATAAACTAATTGAGAATCATAATATTGGTTTTTAAAGTTTACTTTTAAAAATGTGTTTATATCATTGTGTTTGTTGGCAGTCACCTGAGTCTGGTTATCGCCCCACTGAGAGACCACTTTCCACAAAGTTCTTATCTTTAAAATCAAACCATTAGTTTGTTCGCCCACAAAAACAAACAGAGACACTAAATAGTATTCATTTGTCCAGAATGCTCACCGCGTTGCTATATTTGGCCAGTACCTGCAATGGCAATACTCTTATATAAGCGCACAACTTTATCTGCCTGTGATGAACGCTGCACATTCCGTCGTTTTCATGCAGGGGGCGCTGCAAACATACGTGCCCCCTGCATGAACGATGTCGGACGCGCAGGGACAGACGTTCGATTACGTTGGAATCGATCTGCAGACGGCGGTCTTCTCGCACGGCCAGCAGCTCCGTGTCGCCTTATCTCGATCCCGCAATCCCAAACAGATGAAAGTCCAAATCGAACCTAACCCCCAGCAAGGCCATCGACTTAACGACGAGAGAAAATTCACACGAAATGTCCTTTTCAATGAAGTCTTCCAGATGTAAAATTATATAAGCTTTTAATAAAGAAATACAATTATCTAATTCAAAACATAATACAATTCAAAGAAGTTTCATTTTAAAACTTCAAAACGGAGCATCGGGTGCTTGCGTGAATGCGTCGTTCGCGTGCAATTTCTTTCGTGACTCCTGGCCGACGGCCGTCAATGGTTGTGAGGGGACGCCACAGGTGCCCCCGAACAACCCCTCGTTATAAATAATGCATTTTACACCGTGGCATCTTCGCAGGTGCGACCACAGATCACAGCACGTGCAATAAGACCGCCACTATCTGCCTGCACCTTAACGACGCCATTCATAACGTCTCTTTATCAGCCCGCGGGCAGCCCGTTCGGTGACAGCGACGCGCCCCGTGTCTCTATTGCAGACGTCACCACGCAAAACGAACCCGTGCACGGTCGCAGCCAAAATAGATCCCGGTGTGATTGCATTACCGATTTAGATGCAAATGCTCATTTATATCTCTCATCTTGCGTGTAGGCGGCGGAGGCTTTTTTTTTGGTTCGTCGATGATTGATGCTCAAGAGCCGCCCGTTGCTTTGCGGGGTGAAGGCACAGCGCCGGTGAGACCGCGCGCGCTCACGCCGACCGGTGAGCGGAAGGCGCCTCCGCTGCAGAGTGGACCTCTGGATACTCCTCCTCTCTCTCGATATCTCTCTCGAGACCAGGGGGTCGACAAACCTGCAGCTCTCTCTCTTTTTTTAAGGGTTGCGCTGCGGCTCTTGAAATTTGGGCGATGCGTGGAAATGTTGGCATCGGCCGAGTGGGTCCGCAGGCCGGAAAAAAGTTTGAGAACCGCTTCTCTGGGGCTTCGCAGACGTTCTACTTATTTATTATCCAAGAGAGCCACCACTGAGCCGTGTCCAGAGCCTCAAGGACGTCGCACACGCTGCATTTTCTGTTTGCACTCAGTCACGTATTCACTTTAAGATGTTTTTTTTGTTCATGTTTTTGTTTGTTGCGGTTGCACCCGATTCAAGAGCCGAATGGCTCACAGGGCTATACCTAATAAATGAACTTGAACTTGAGTCACGTGCGACTCTTTTTCAGAAGGGTTCTTACTGCTGCCACATTGGGGTTTTTTTATTTTAATTTACGAGCTGCTGGATGGAGGCCTATCCCACGCAGGCATCGGTTGGCACGGTAACGATGGTTCTCTGTCCATACTTCACCGCGCTCGTCACTGCGGGTTTCTGCATGTTGGAGCTTTACTTAAAACTGATTTTTGTGTTTCGTTTGTTGTCCTTCCCCCAGCACCTCCAACTTGCGCGGTTGGCTACGTAACGGTGTCGAAATAAGTTATACATGCAAACATCATCATCGTTTTAATGTTCATCTAACCTGCGGGCACCTGTAATTCCCCGTGTCGAAGTTTAACATCCATACGTGCATTTTGTTTAACCGAGTGAGAGTTCTAAGGGGAGCAGGATGAGCAAACATTCTAATTTACAAAGGTCACTCGGCTCACCCGAAGTGACCAGAGCAGCAACAACAACAACTTGAAAAATAAATCTGAAACAACAAAACAATCTGTCTCATTAGCAATAGAACATCGCGCGAGCAGACATCACATTTTTAATTCCCGAGTGAAATATTAAACTCCAGGATGTGCAAATCGGCTGTGGCGGCTTTATCTTCAGCTTGATCACGGCAATAATTGCCAATCTAAACCACGGAAACGTTACACTTTAAGCAGATAGAGGCTGACTATATAGCTAATATGTCCTGGGATGACCCAGGGCCAGGCGAGCCAATGTATGCGAGGTTGATTTAACATCGGAAATAACAGCTGCCGATGTACGGTTTGTGCGTTTTATTTGTTCTTTCAAATTGTCTTCGTGCGGAATCAGCAAGTTGCGCGAGTCCCGTCAGCGATTCCACACACGTGGCGAGACATTCCTTCCGTAAGTCACGCTCAGTCCACTGCTGGGCGAAGGCCCAAACAAGCCGCTCGCTCACCTCTCACGATTCTTGCGACGTCAATAAAATCGACCTGGACCACCACCTGCACGTGAACCCATTGCATCGCTACGCCTCCAAAGGTGTGCGACTTCTCGAACGCATTCCATTCATTGGCTGCCACTCACGCTCTTAGTTTTTTTTTCTCATTATCCTCGACAAACGGCCATGGTCACAGTTAGTCGTGAAACACATTCCTGCGGAGGGAGCTGGTAGGAACGTTGGGTTGCTCGGTCAATGGCCAGGGTCAACGGCGGCGTGGTGTATTCCGCAAATATGTCCGACTGTGAGGGCGGGCACAAGCCGGCGTGAATAGGTTAAACGTTGAGTTTTATAAGGGCACCACGGGGTGACCAGCCCCTCCCCACCCAGCCCCACCCCTCCAACCCCCCACCCAACCCCACCCCACCTCAGCCCCTCCCCACCCTCCCTTCCCACCCATACCCTCCCTGCACGACGGACACAATAATCCCCTGTGGGCTGGTGTAACCAGGAGGTTCCTACCAGTATTATTCCTGCCATAGCTTCACTTTCTTTTTCTCAACAGCTTGAACAATGATGTCATTCTTAACCCGCGCGCGCGTTTCGCCAATCCACGCGTTCCCCCTCTCCGCCTCTCAATGCCATTCCAAGCGGGGCATCGCTCCGAAGCTATATTGCGAATGTTTAGGTTTTGTTCAAAATATCTTTAACCGGTTGGTTGGGGGGGGGGGGGTAACCATCGCGTGCGGTGCAGTGCCCTGCTGTATTTAATTACAATGGATTTTTTTTTGGGGTGGGGGGGGGGGTTCTCTGCATGGCATTCGAGGCAACCTCTAATTTGCAATGTTCCCGTGAGACGCACGCGCGCGCGCACGTGCCCGTTTGCCACTTAAAGTGTGGAGACCCTCCAAGGGAAAGTTACGTCCGAGTTCACCGTGGGGGGATTGGAGGGGTGGTTTGTGGTTCCTATCGTGGTTGCTAAGCGGTGCAGGCCCCAAAGGCACCAGAACCCCAATCGGGCAGCGAACAAACAACACGATTGAAGTTGTGATAAATAAGGAGGAAGGGGCCGTCCATAAATGACGTCACGCGATTTTGGACGATTTTTGACCCCCCCCCCCCCTCGTCACACGGCGTCACAAAAAGTCAGAACACCCCTCAAATATGACGTCACAAAGCTCTGCCCCCCCCCCAAAAATAAAACACGCTTCAAATCGCTTTAAACTATTGTCATTGTAGTGCGTATTTAATGTGCCGCTGCACTCTGATGTTGTAGGAGAAAACATTTATTAAAAAGTCTATTTAATTAAGTAGAACGTGTTGTCTATATTTATTTAAAGTTGCGCATTTTTACGTGACGTCACATTTCTCAACTCCCCCCCCCCCCCTCGTCACACATCGTCACAGGTGCGTGACGTCATTTATGGACGGCCCCAAAGAGACGCATTGCGGCCTGCGGTGTGGTGAGTGGCTGAGTGCATTGTCGGGAGCGGTGGTGCAGCGGTTCGTGCGCTGTGGCTACGAACCCAGCGACCCGACTTCGAGTCCCGTTCACGGCCATCGACACCGTTGACGATTATCTGAACCGGTACTGGACCTCCCTTAGGTCGACTCAGCCTCAAATGAGTACCTGCTGTGATGAGCAAACATCGCCACTGGAGAGACAAAGGCGGACGGGCGTGGTGCTGACCACCCACACCCCCTCGTGTGTCGTTCCGGCCTTCATAGGTGCTCGCTAACAGCACTTGCCCCTACAGTCTGCTCAGGCTATACGGGGGATCTTTGTCTTTGTCAGATTTGTATAACTTTATTGACATCTAGCACAGGTATTTTTTGAGTACGTCTTAATTGACGGGAACGTTAAATTTCGATTTAAAGCTTTCGTGACTGCAGGGATTCATCTTCTTGGTTCTTTCGGTGAAGTCACGTAGAAGGGAAGTAATAAAATAATAAAAATAAAACATAATAAAATAATTCTCACGACGTTTCGGCCACAACACAAGCAGCCGTCGTGAGAATTATTTTATTATGTTTTATTTTTATTATTTTATTACTTCCCTTCTACGTGACTTTACCGAAAGAACCAAGAAGATGACGGGAGCGTCTTTGTAATCTTATTCTTGGGTCGCCAGGTGATTGGGAAAGTCGTGATGAAGGCGATAGTTCTCGCCATGTGCGTGTGGAATCTTCTCCAGGTGATCTCCAGAGTCACATTTCTCGTGGTATTGTTGCAAAATCTCAGAAGTGTTCAAATAATTTTGAAGCAGTTAAATTTCGATTTAAAGCTTTCGTGACTGCAGGGATTCATCTTCATGGTTCTTTCGGTAAAGTCACGTAGAAGGGAAATAATAAAATAATAAAGATAAAACATAATAAAATAATCCAGGTCTGTCGGGGAGACAGCGTCACCTGAGGACGGCTGCTTGCGTTGTGGCCGAAACGTCGTGATAATTATTTTATTATGTTTTATCTTTATTATTTTATTATTT